GCACTGAGTTGCCGCCATGTGATTGGCTGATTAGAAATTAAGTGTTAACGAGCAGTTGGACAGGTGTACCTAATAAAGTGGCCGGTGAGTGTATATCATATGTTTTTGGTATAAAACTTAAAATAAAATAAAAAAACACAGGGTGTCATTTTGACAGCATTTACTATACTTTAAAAACTGTTGTATCACAAAATAATCTCAATCAAGAAAATTCAACAACCCGGTACTAGTTCCACTGAGTTTTTAAGGAAAATAAAAAAATCAAGTATTACTTCTTTCTTGTTGTGCAAAACAGTGCAAGTATACCTCAAATGTAGTTTTAGACATTTGTTTTAAATAAAACATGATAAATAGTAACCATTTTCATTCTACCCAGTAAAAAATTAAACAGCAACATTTCACACATCAAAAGGTGCGCACTGAACGCTTAACTACCACTCAAAATCTTGCAGTCATTTGTTAGACTCTAAAGGTTGTTGCCAGAGATTGTTCTCATTTAAACAGGACCTTAAGGCCTCTGCATGCTCCATCTAAACTGCTCTCACTGTCACAATTTCATGACAAAAATCGTGTCTATTTACATCTTCAAATCTGCCACCCCTGCTTGTCAAAACCAGCTGGGAGAACGTTTCACCTGCACTGCATGAGAACACACTGTGATCGGTCAGGAGTTCTTGGCTGTGTTTGTTTATGCTGAACGCTTAAATGCTGCATTTTGCTTCAACTACTCGTTTCTAAAAAAAAAAAAAAAAAACTGCAGAAGCCACCTGTTGAACCCAGAAGCAAACATTTATAAAGATAGTCAAACTTGAACGGAGGAATCCATCTGCAGAAAAGTGTTGAGCTTTTACCAGGACAGATCTGTGGACAAATAACGACGTATCAGAGGCTTTTTTTTTAAAGAGTATAGTCCAGAGGGAAGGACCTCCGTGCAGTGACGTCACGTGTACTGCAGCAGGAGGGGTTTCTTAGGAGCTCAGCAGAGCGTGTCTCAGAAACTATGAAAC